ACTCTTTCATTTTTCTATAAGAAGAGAAAAATTGATACGAATCGTTCGTTTATTCGAGTTAATTTGATGAATAAGTTAGATATTGATCGGTCTTCGATTTCAGTACTGATTTACTCTTTCATTTCTCTATAAGAAGAGAAAAATTGATACGAATCGTTCGTTTATCTGAGTTAATTTGTTAAATAAGATTAGAGGGGTATGTACCTGAAAAATAAAAACAAATTGTCATTGCAAGTGTGCAATTTTTTGACGTTGATTTATGGTATTAATCGATATTCCATTTTCGGTACTCATTTAGTCTTTCATTTCTCTATAAGAAAACAGAAAATTACTACGAATCGTCCATAAATCGCGTTAATTTGATGAATAAATTAGGTATTGATCGGCCTTCGATTTTCGATACTGATTTATTGTCTCATTTTTTTATAAGAGAAGAAAAATTGGTACGAATCGTTCGTTTAACCGAGTTAATTTGTTGTGTAAATTATAGCGGTAACTACCTGAAAAATGAGAACAAATTGTCATTGGACAATTTTCTGACATTGATTTATGGTATTAATCGGTATTCGATTTTCGATACTGATTTGCTCTTTCATTGCTCTATAAAAAAAGAAAAAATTGATACGAATCGTTCATTTATCCGTGTTAATTTTTTTTTTATTATATATAAGTGGTCCATGGGACGATTAAATATTCGAATACATGTTGCCGTATCAAAGTCTCCTCTATAATAAACGATTTGACACGTCTGGAGCCGCATGATGTATCGTTGCCCGCATCCCATTCCCTTCGTCCTGCTTCCCTGTATAAAATGTAGAATTGAAACGTATTAAAAAGTATTGACATATGTCTGAATTCTGAATCTTTTTGATCCGAAGAAGAGGATTGAAAAGTATTAGTTCCCATTAAATTTTACTGCGCTAAATGCGAGACGGTCTCTTTCGCCCGGATGCCACACCAGGGAAATTTCTCTGGTACGCTAAATCCTGTAAGGCCATCAGTCTTTGTAATATATCTACAAGGTCGGTGCATAAGGTTTATATTACCTGTACATACATATTTTGAAACATTTTCTTTGGATATTATATCAAACGGATTTTGCGTCACGTAATATCCTTCGGACTACACGGACATTATTATTTTGATCATTTTGATTTCTTTGGTATTCATTGAATTATCCAGAACGCGCAACTACCATGTTGAACGACTCAATTGTCGTGTGAAATGTTTCGATTTTCACAAATTCATATAAAATTTTTCATTTTTCACTGATTCACAGAAGTCTTTCACTTTTTATTAGTTCACGCTAGGGAAAAGATTCATGGTCGCTGCCCCGAGCAGCTGCAACGCTTTTCGAATCATCTATGTCGGCGCGCTTTTACTCCTCAGATTTCTGTCATTAATAACTCGATAATTATTGCGAATCTCGCAGGATGGTATTGGACTTTTATGTTTGTCTTAACCCAATTTACCCTTACACTTCGGGTTGGCAGCTAATTACCGGACACTTCGTATGATCTTCATGAGATTAATCATACACAATGTCAATTCTTTTTTTTGCACATGTTAACATGTTAATTCATGTTATAAACGCGTAACAATGTGCGAGACCGTGCTTGTCAAGTACGCTATTATGGTTGTAGCACGGACATAAACCGCCTAAAAATGAGTGTAGCACGGACTGCCATCACATACAGGTTTTACTGTCGAAACCTGAAAGTGGATGTAACATCATAGTTCCCCTCTCAAAATGGATGCAGATGACGTCCATTCCCAGTGCGGAAAATCAGTGTCGTCGAAAACACCGTGTTGGCCGCTCTCACGTTCCTCTCTGGTATTATGCATTATGCAGAAGTCTGTGCTCTGCATATATGTAATACTACTATATTGCTAGCAGAGAGAGAAGTCCCGTTCCAACACTACGGTGCGGGAATCTATTTCCCTCTCTTTCTAAGTGCACTTTGAATATTATGCGCATGCGTCGGATTTATCGTGGCCGCCAATAGAAAAGTAAAATATACACATGTGAGGTGATGTTTGCTGTGAAGCAGTAACAGGTTATGTTTATTAAAATTGACAACTATGGCCCGCAAATGTTATTTGTGTAATAAAAAGGCTATTGCGACTGAAAATATTAGTTTACACAGGTAAAGAATCAATTATACAGACAATTAATATTTACTGTGACTTGTCAATGATTTACTGTCCTTTAAATTTTTTCAAGTGAAATTCATTCTTTTAAGTGAAAAAAAAATTTCGCCGTTATTTTTAGATTTACAAAAGAACGACAGCTTCGCTCAAAATGGTTAAATGCCTGTAACTTATCCGAAGCTGATGATGTATCAAAGATTTATATTTGTTCATGCCACTTCAAAGATGAAGAAAGAAAAAATAAAGAAAAGGGAAGTATGTTGGAAACTATCTACTTGCAGAAGTAGTTCCTTCTACATCAAGACAGAAGTTACATAAGAACATAAAGAACATAAAGAACTGTGCTCAAGAAGTGGTGCATGTCAGCAATGAAGATGTCCAATATCAGGACACATTCTTTGAAGATGTGGAAAATATTTCACCTAATGGAAAGATGATCAGCAACGATATCAGCAACAATCCTGCCACAATTATAGATGTTGAAGTCAATTATCATCAACCATCCATATGATTAGAGAAAACCGCAGAGTCTAAAGATACTGCCAGTGAGAATATACTAGTATCATATGTATCATGCAAAAAAAATTTGAACAACAATGAAAGTCCTGATGATATTGGAGGTATCTGTTAAGCAGTTTTAATATTAATAAAATCGTGATAACTGTAAATTAAAATTGGAAATTTGAGAAATTGTATATAAACATCAATGTTTGTTTTTTTGTTGCAAGTCGAGAAAAATGACATGATAAAATTAATGTCTACATAATATATAATATACTCCTTTTTATTTCAGGCTTCAAAGAAGAGGATATATGCATTCCAAAAAAACGCAGAGTTGCAGAACCACGCTATGTTTCTGAAATTTGTGTTTCTGATGTTGCAACTCCCAGGAGAGCTAAACGGGTAATTTCATTAGTAAAACGCAATGAGGCCAAGAAACAAAAAAAAATGAAAGAACTCCGTCGCCAAAAGCGAGACTTGCTGAAGCGTATCACTTGTCTGGAAGACATGGTAAAACATTTACAACAGCAAGGATTTATGTCTGAAAGTGCTGGAGAAAATGTAATGGTAATGTATGAAAGTGGAAAATAAATTTTTTGAAACAAACAAATCTCTTCTAAGGAAATATTTCTTGGCTAAAAACATATTTACTTAAATCTAAATTATCAGATAGGCATTCCATTTTCAAATTATGTAATGGACGCGCACATAAAAACGCAAGATGTACTGGACAATCACCGGGTTCAGCTTTGTAAATATGTTATAAACTTTTATTTAAATATAAGATTACATCACGAGGCATCACTTTGTATGTACACATAATACACATTTGTTCTGTGGTAATAAAAATACATTGCACTGTATTCTTATACAGTAGCATTATGCAAAGTTTTGTAAAAATAAATAAGGATTTATTTATTCCGACTGAATTGGTTTGATTAACTACTACAAGGTTTATTTCTTGAACGCGGAATTATATCCGATTTTCCTATTGGCGGAGCCGATCAATCCGACGCATGCGCATACATTCAAAGTACACTTAGAAAGAAAGGGAAATATATTCCCGCACCGTAGTGTTGAGACGGCTGCCTCTTATAGGCAGAATAGGGCGACTAGCAATATAGTAGTATTACATATATGGTGCTCTGGCCCTAAAAGTTTCCAATATGGCCGCTCTTAATCCTTTGAGGCACAGTGGTAAGCATAGATTAAGGGCCAGAGCACAGACTTCTGCATAACGCATAATACACAACGCATAAGAGAATCAACCAATCAGAGTTCTTTATTTCTGTCCTGAGGAGGGAAATGAAGAAAACTAATTGATTTATATTCTCTTATGCGTTATGTATTATGCGTTATGCAAAAGCCTGTGCTCTTGCCCTAATTGTTGTACAAAAAGTATATACAACTTGCGCAGAATACGGACTAAAGGATGCGCAGTAAACAATTTTATATACTTCTGTAGGCGCGCTACCGTTTCGGCATGTTTTTCTGTGAATATTTATTTACAATTTATATAAAAATTTAATAACAAAATTTTATAATTTGATATACTATATATATTTTTTTTTCATGATCACGCACATACACGAATATTTTATTACTTACTGTAATTTTACCAATATTATTTTTCGCGATACGTATTTTTTTCTTAATTATAACTGATATTAAAAACGTGTATCACATTCGGGCACGTCGTATTGCAACGATTATTGCACGATTACATGTGTCATTTCGAAAGGTTAGAATCATGTCCGTATCTTGCGCATACCCATTGTCACCGAAATATCGCGATTTTTCATTTTTGCGTCCGCCATCTTGGATCCGCCATCTTGAATTTCGAAAATCTGATAACGGATTCATCATCAGCGACCCTAGAAATTTCCATGTATAAATTCTCATGTGATTTGGATTTTTTGAAAAATACGTACCTCAAAAGATTAACGAAGAATCGAAGTCGTGAAGTATGACTCAACGATAAGTCAGACATATCCTTATTTTCACATAATATAATTCAATAACAGATCAAATGGTCTATTAATTCTTAAGTTGGATTTAATAGCGGGTCGAAGGACCTTCTTATTTTTAACAATGCGTTTGAATGACGGATCAGAGGATCCTTAATTTTCAGTAGTACATCTCAACAACAGACTGAGCAGATATTTAATTCTTCAATAGCACGACCAAAAAGCGGGACGATATTTGTAAGCGATATATTTCGGTTTAACGATAAATGGTATTATAAGATAATCTGAATGAGTTCGAATCTAAAGATATTAAGAAGCGGATCGATCCTTTAATAAAATATAAAGTAATAAAAAATCGATTTATTACCCGTCACGTTACAGACTACACTCTACAGTACTCACCTCTAGCGGCTCGTTCGTCATCGTCCATTGTTGTTCTCATAGGCTACATCGAGAAATTTCGACTTAGTTACATTCATTGAGAATCATGGCGCTTATTTCTGCTAAGACGATTTTTAGTCCCGGTAAGATCATGCAAAATGTAAAGTGTGTTGACGTTAACAAACGCGATGTAATTTCTTAGCTAATCTCTTCCCATCGCATTGCGCTTCATTTTATCGGTGAAATTCCTATCTTTTAATTGAATATCAAGAACGATCGTATCCCGTACAAGATTAAGGGTTAGACACATGGATAATAAAATATTTCATATTCCTGTTTTACATGTAAATCTACTTTTGTTCTGTTTTAGTATTGAAGCAAACTTTCAAGCAAATTGTCTTCACGAGACAATTGCCAAAATGCGTAAGTCTTTGTTTTTCATTAACTAATCTATAATTTGTAGTTATAGTTGTAATCAATGAGTATAATTATATAAAGTTGTCTAAATAGATGTGTGTTTATAAAAAAGTTTTGTAACAAGTAATCGCTGTCTTGTCAGATGGTAGCATACCTTACATGCTTTGGACTACATAATTTTTAATCGTATTTATCCAGAGAATTGAAAATCGTCAGTAAATATCAATGCATATATATAAATTTGTACGATAAAACTTTAATAATTTGTAACAATTATTTTATATATATATATGTATATATTTAAGTTCTTACGTAATATGACTCAATATTATTCAATATATTAATGTTTGATATATGTAGTATAGTATAATATAATTATATTGCAAGTTAACTGAATATTGTTGTTTGACATTTAGCAAAATTATCAACTGACCGGTCAGTTATTCCTGCCGATTGTTAGCAGCCAAAGATCTTATGCAGAGAAGAAAGTTTATGCCCGTACCAAACCACATTGTAATGTAGGTACAATTGGCCATGTGGATCATGGCAAAACAACTTTGACAGCAGCAATTACCAAAGGTACATATCGGTTGTGTTCAGAGTACAATTAATAACCTGTAGCTAAAAAGCATAAATAACTATGGAATATTGTTGGAAATAGTACTGGCAGAGAAAGATCTCGCAATAGCGAAAGGATACACTGAGATAGACAATGCGCCTGAGGAAAAGGCTCGTGGTATCACTATTAACGTCGCACATGTCGAGTATCAGACGGAAAATCGTCATTATGGGCATACAGATTGCCCGGGTCATGCCGATTATATTAAAAACATGATCACAGGAACGGCGCAAATGGACGGTGCTATTCTAGTTGTCGCTGCGACAGATGGCACTATGCCACAGACCAGAGAACACTTGCTGCTGGCTAAACAAATTGGTATCGAGCACATTGTTATATTCATCAATAAGGTAAAACATGCGTGATCTTATTAATTTGAAATATGCTATTAAATCTATATTTATCTATATTTAGTCTATATTAAGTCTATATTTGAAATATGCTATTAAAATCTTACATATTTTAACGTTCTCAAGATTGATGCTGCCGATGCTGAAATGGCGGAATTGGTAGAAATCGAAATACGAGAATTGCTTTCCGAAATGGGCTACGACGGCGATAACGTGCCCATAGTGAAAGGCAGCGCATTGTGCGCGCTCGAGGGGAAGAACTCCGAAATAGGCGCGCAGGCGATTATGCAGCTGTTGAGCGAAGTGGACAGATATATCCCGACCCCACAGCGAGACATGGACAAACCTTTTCTAATGCCGGTGGAAAATGTATACTCCATCGCTGGGCGTGGTACCGTTGTCACCGGTAGACTAGAGCGTGGGAAAATCAAGAAAGGAATGGATTGCGAGTTTGTCGGTTACAATAAAACATTCAAGAGCGTGATCACAGGCATAGAGATGTTCCATCAAATATTGGAGGAAAGCCATGCCGGAGATCAGGTGGGCGCTCTGGTGAGAGGTGTGAAGAGGGACGAGATTAAAAGAGGCATGATAATGGCCAAACCCGGCACTGTAAAGGCGCACGATCACTTGGAAGCGCAAATATACTTGTTGACCAAAGAGGAAGGAGGTCGAAAGAAACCCATCGCAAATTTAATACAGCTGCAAATGTTCAGCAAAACGTGGGACATCGCGGCACAGTGCACGATAGCGGGAGGAAAGGATATAGCTATGCCGGGAGAGGATTGCACGTAAGACATTCGATTTATTTGCTTTTCCTCGAGTTCGTGTCGTTCTTGTCTTGTTACACTTGTCCCGTATTCTCCTCTGTAGATTGGAACTGAAGATGCTGAAGCCAGTGGTATGCGAGAAAGGCCAACGTTTCACGCTGCGAGACGGATCGTTGACTCTTGGCACCGGTGTGATCACCAACATCTTAAAAGCACTTTCGGAGTCGGAACGTATATTCCTTCTCGAGGGCAGGAAGCAGAGGGAAAAGAGAGAGAAACAAAAGCAAAAGCAGTAGATTTGAATTTAAGCAAAATATTTGTTACCCGGTGCAGAAATAAAAAGAAGAAAGTATTATATTGAAGGGGAAAAAAAGGATGTAAATGATTTAGATAACCGGGTTACGATCGGAATCTTCAAGTGGATGTCTACCGAAGTATGCGGCATTTTTTTGAATTAGTTTGACGGACGTGCAAGACATTATCGCTGCGCAGATCTTATATGTTTAAAAACGCCACAGCTACATCGCGCGTCGTAGTTCTCGTAGTTTCATAATATCCAGATAGAAAGGTGCATTAGGTCGGATGTATTATAAAGGCGTGTTTATTAATCACCTCCATTCCTTTCTTCAATTGGTATGCAACTACAATGATACATTATGTACGAATAAATTCTTAAATAAACGTTAATATGTAATAAACCACGTGATTATATTAACGTTTAACATTAATCAAATTCAGCAATTAATATGAGTAGTATAACGAGATATATGATCTCATTATATCCATGTATATCTACATATGTAAGTATATATATATAGTATGTATATATAAGCATATATGTATATATATATACTTATATACTATATATACACTTGTATATACTTACTATAAGTAGATTTTAAATAAAATCTGCTCTAAGCAGAATAATAATTGAACGCCATAGTCGCAAATTTACACGTTGCAGCATATTACTTCTAGTTCTTTTCCATACTAAAAATTCATCGGTGTAATTTACACATCGGTGATACTTTCCGCCGTAAGACGGGTCCGAGGGAGGATTTAAAAAGGGGGATAACGACTTCACGTGCACCTAACCGAATAGATTCTCCTTCACATAGGAAAGATATATATGTAATTTAGATTTATATAAACACGCTGAACATGAGAACAATTTTTGTAAATTCGCAGCATATCGCATAGTCTTGAAGATAGACGCATTATAACGCGGTACGCTTGTGTGATTGTGTATACGAACTTGTACTCGAGAATAGTTGGATTTTACAAAATTGTCAGAAAACTGGAAACAATTGCGATATGACCACAGAAATTAACAAATTTAATACGAAACAATTAACACGAACTTATGGGAAAATAATTTATAGGAGGTACGAGTTCCAGAAACATAAATTACACTAAACACAACAATTTAACAAGAGATGGTTTTTTTATATTTTTCGTTTCACCTGCTTGCGTAAATGACGTAAAAATCAGAAAGAAGAGAAATACATGGACAAGAAAATGAAAGGGCACATAAAAAAGTGGATCTTGATGTATAAGGTGTGTTGTATATTATACAAGATCGAAGCAATGGAACTCAGTAATGTATACAAATGTTACGTTCCTTAGTGGAAAAACTCTTCGACCTCTATGAAAATGTACGAGTGCACGTGATATAACCATAGGCACTCGTGTAGGCCTTACCTCTGTAAAGGCCAACCGAGTTAAATAAATGTTAAATAAACTAAAGATCTTCATCATCCTCAGGTAATGCCGTCTCCTGAGCCTCCTTAAGATCCTTCTCAATTTGTTGCTGCCATTGTGGATCCATAGTAACTTCTGGTGGCAGGAGAGCGGGCATGGCAACAAACTCCAGGTTTGGATCTCCAATCAATTTACGTGCCAGCCACAAGAACGGTTTCTCAAAGTTGTAATTACTTTTTGCGCTGATGTCGTAATACTGCAACGCAAGAAAGCAGTTAGCTCTGGAATCACTTGCTACAAATAATAAACTCATTTCCAGGAAGAACAATTCAGATTAGAGGGACAATATAATGTCTTCATTTGATAATATCATACGATTGATTCATCATGAAAAAATTGCAACAGAATATATAAAGACACGGTATTTAGGTGACAAAGAAGAAAGTATCGTCGTTTAAACACCTGTAGATTCTTCTTTCTGTGGAACACAATACTCTTGGCCTTCACTTTCCTGTCTTTGATATCTACTTTGTTACCGCAAAGGACAATTGGTATATTTTCACAAACACGGACTAAATCCCTGTGCCAATTGGGCACATTTTTATACGTTACTCTGGACGTAACATCAAACATGATCACGGCACATTGTCCTTGAATGTAATAACCATCTCGGAGGCCACCAAATTTTTCCTGACCAGCTGTATCCCAGACGTTGAAACGGATCGGTCCGCGGTTGGTGTGGAAGATCAGTGGATGCACTTCTACACCGAGGGTGGCGACGTACTTCTTCTCGAATTCACCAGTCAAATGCCGTTTGACGAAAGTTGTCTTCCCGGTGCCACCGTCGCCAACCAATACGCATTTGAAAGTGGGCATATCATTTTCCTGTGCCATCTCTACAGTGGATGATCTTACAGCCGATCTGCTTGGTTAGGAACACAATTCTGCAAAGAGAGGACAGCGGATTAAATACCACGTGAGTTCGCAAAGCGAAGCAAACGCATGAACGAAGCGACGTGTGTGCGTCAAGATTTCCCACGCGACCTCGTGGTAGCTCTTCCGAATCTTCTCGCGAATCTTCCGAACGTCCGCGCTAAGTTACCGTGTGAACTCGACTCAAAAGTCGCGCGTTTCGCAAAGACGGACAGTGCTTTATCGCTGATGGAACGGAGCCAAGAAAAATCACGAGCAAGGACGTCGCGAGCGAGCGAGCGAATAAACGAACGAACTGACGTATCCGATGCCACTGGAAAATCCCGCAGATCAGAATCACGCGCGAGAAACATGATCGAGGAACAGGCGAAGCCGCCGTTACGTACTTGAGTGATACTCACGACGACGATGCTCGACGTGAGACGGAGTCGGCGCGCAGAAAATCGGAGGGAAAAGCCGGTCGGAGCACGTTGCCGCGCGTTTGCACGCCGTCGATCGGAATTCACCGTTAGTCACTTCGGCGGGGGAATGGCGCCTGCCGGGCTTCCAGCGTAATGCGGGATTTTCGCAGCGACTACGCGCGCGAACGCGATCAATTCTCCACGCGAATCGCCACGGGCGCGTAGTTACCGCGTGCTCTCCGCCGTTCGGGAGCAAGCCAGATGACGCGGTACGAAATTTCCCGGGTAGCCGGCGATGTACGTGAAAATGACCGGTCAAACTTACCGTGCGGCACAGTCGTTATGGCTCACAATGGCGTTCCTCTGGGCGGACGAGTGGAGACGAGCAACCTCGTCATTCGTCGATCTGAAGCGTCACGCGCTTGCGCGAGAAACTGCCTGAGAATACTCGAAAAAATTGAATTTGATTACTCGCGTGTCCTTCTCGGCGAAATATCACGCGAGGTCTTTTCGTCGAACGAATAAAGACTCTCAACGACCGGGAAATTCGGCAGTGAGAAATGCACTCAACCGGATTGGCAAGCAGCGACATCTTTGGTTGGCGCGATGCTCGACGTCGGTACATACAGCACGAGAACTCGAAGTTGACGCACAGAAATGGACGTACGAGGGCACCACTTGTCTGCTGGCGCCAAAAGTTTAATTCTCGAAAGCGGGTGTACAGAGAGTATCTTTATATATGCCCGGGCGATATTTATAATTTCATGCTGAATTTAGGTTTGCGAGGCTAGGCTTTATACTTCTTATCGTATAAACTTGTACTTAATGGTTCTTTTGCTGGTAAAAAAGGTTTAACTACTCCGACCGAGAATCGACGCGGTGAATCGTACTTCCATTTCGTTCCCGTCATCGTTACGTCGTGTGAAGACGCTGGTTTTCCTCGGGAACGATTAACTATTTTCGAGCGAAGAACGTCCGGAAGCGGACTCAGAATCTCTCGTCGCGATTTTGCGGACAAATTCCTCCTGCATTTCAGTAATCGGGAATCCAAAATGGTAGGCATTTATCATCAGTTAAAGTATCATTAATCCGTCGCTATCGTCAGGCGGAGCTTGATAGTTTCGTGCGTCACCGCGTTTTTTGCTTCCTTCTTACACTCTTCTTTCAGTTGTACGTAGGCAGTCTGAAAAGTTCTCGGCCTAACAATGAAAGAAATTTTTTTTGCCGTGAAATATGTTTTATTTTTCAATATAATCTCCTGAAACTTCAATACATTTATTGCAACGTTTTTCCAATAATTCAATACCATTATTAAAATGTGATTCCGGAAGGTCTGCAAAATATCTATCCACGGCTGCAATAGCTTCATCATTTGATGTAAAACGCTTTTCAGCCAGGAATTTTTTCAGCTTTAAAAACAGATAATAGTCAGAGGGAGCCAAATCTGGTGAATACGCTGGATGTTCAAGCAATTCGTACTTTAATTCGTTGAATTTTGCCATTGTCAAAACACTTGTGTGAACACGTGCATTGTCTTGATGGAAAACGATTCTTTTCTTCTTTAAAGCAGGTCTTTTCTCACGAATTTTTGCATTCAATAGATCCAAAAGGTTACAATAATATTCAGAGTTATTCGTTTTATCTTTCTGAAGATAATCGATCAACAAAACACCTTTGTTATTCCAAAAAACTGTTGCCATAACCTTTCCTGCTGATGGAACCGTCTTTGCCTTCTTTGGTGCACGTCCACCGGCTTCAATCCATTGTTTCGACAGTTCTTTTCGCTCTGGTGTATAGTGGTGGATCCAAGTTTCATCAACAGTTATGAAACGACGTTTGAAATCCATTTTATTTTGCTTAAAACGATCCAAACACGCTTGAAAAATACGCATTCGAATGCGTTTTTGGTCAATTGTTAGCAAATGCGGCACCCATCTTGCACAAAGCTTTTTCATATGTAATTCTTCATGCAAAATATTTCCAATTCGTTCTTTTGAGATGCCTATGGCCTCAGCTATTTCACGCATTTTCACTCGCCGATCATCTAACACCATATCATGGACTTGTTGAATGTTTTGTGGTGTTGTAACAGTTTTTGGACAACCTTCGCGTGGATCATTTTCGAGGCTTGTACGACCAGATTTAAAAAGAGCAGCCCATTTTTTCACAGTGGAAAGTGAAGGTGATGCATCCTTATGCACTTTTAACAATTTCGGATGAATTTCTGTTGGTGTTAAACCATCCAAAACAAAGAATTTAATCACTGCACGATATTCAATTTTTTCCATTTTAAAAAAGGCAATGACACGTCAATATTAAACTGGTGCAACTACTCGAATGACTTGACAGATCGAAATAAAATTTTACATGGGTTTATATCGGGGATGCCACTTTCCAATACAATTATAGTTTGACAGTTTCTAATGCCATCTATATGTCAGGCCGAGAACTTTTCAGACTGCCCTCGTACATAATATATGATTTGAATCGAGTATTCGGTTTGAGATGAAAGCACTTCCCACACAGCACATATCTTCAAAGAATATCTCTAAGACATCCTGAGGACATTCCTATTCCTGCGTCCTAAGAATGTCCCCAAGACGTCCTCAAGATGTCCTCCGGAGATTTTGTCCTGTTTGGGTTGCGACGCGCTGAATCGTCCAACATAAAACATACAAAATCAATCCGCTTCAAGTATCCAAGTTCAGCAAACAGGGTGGCGATAGAAACCGTTGATACATGCGTATAAACGAAAGTGTGCCATTTTTCTAAAAACGTTTTTTTTTCACTTGAACTTCAATGTTCCAATCGTACTATATGTGCATACACATCTACTGCGTATGCAGTTTTTTATAGCGATATCGTGAGCGAAATTTACGGCACTTGCGTGCGCAATGTTCAAAGAGATACGTAACGAGTCCAGCTTAATCCCACGTCTTCATTTTAACGAGCATATACATTTAATTTATGAGACGTCAGTCCTCTCGTGTTTCTCCGCCATTGCCAAAGCTTGAGAGCACCGACAGCTTCCATCTCGACTCGTCCCAACGACGTTTCATAAGAACATCGGTTGCAATAATTACGGGAATAACGCTCGTTAGAGCATGGCACAGAAACCCAAGATTGGAATTCGCCGATAAACCGGCACAGCGAGAAGGAGAAATTCTCGTCACGTCCCTGCCCCGGCCGGCCGTCCCACGCGCTTCGGCAGGGCCCCGCGGCGCGCGCCGCCGGCCCTGGCCGAAGTTGACGTCATCGGCGCGTGCGCGTCGCGGCGGACGGCACTGCAGAAGCAGGCGAGTTCGCGAGTGTATCGATTTTACGATCGTGCCTCTCGCGGTACTAGTGCGTCCGTTTCCTTTAGTTTTTTAGTGGCCGTGCACGTCGTACATGGATAAAACCGTGAATGGGATTACCCGCTAGACTCGCCGCTCCGTACACCACCCGCTGACTCACAACTCCTCGTCATCCTTCACCATGACCAAGGATAGATTAGCAGCCCTCGTCGCGGTGAGTACCCGTCACATACTCCTCGTAGTCACTCTCTCAGCCGTCGTCTATGCACGGTACACGTAGAGAGAGAGAGAGAGAGAGAGAAGAGAGAGAGAGAGAGAGAGAGAAAGAGAAAGAGAGAGAGAGAGAGAGAGAGAGTGCACCAGCCGACCGGGCCGCGACGAGCACCTCCGCTTCGTCGGCCGACACGAGCCGGACGTGCGTGCGGTCGTCGTGCACGCGTAGCTCGCATGCCAGAGTTATCACGCGCGTGCAGCTCTCGCTCGCTCGCGTTCCTCTTGTCTCTCCGTCGCGCGCGCTGTCGTGTCGTCTTCGTCGCTCCGGCTCGCTCGGAGACGCCAGGCGAAACGGCATCGTCGCGGTCCCGGTCTGCGTCGCCGTAGCCGAAGGCGTATCCAAGAACGGATCGCCGGGCAGCCGGTCTCGTGTCTCGACGATGACAAGCGGCCTCCTCCGCTCGCTCAACTCGACTCCGCTCCGCTCCGCTCCGCTCCGAGCTGACAGGTGTTTGCGGTCCCTGTCATCGGCGACTCGGCCGCGCGCCAGCCGAGCCGGTGTGTCGCGCCCGGGCCCACGGCCACCATGGCCGACCTTGTCACTTATCGGCGAGACGCCGATGAATGGAGAACGTCCCCGTCGCCGCGGGCCGCGACGATGCTCCTCGATGTGGCGACGTTGACAATCGTCGACCTCGTCTCGGCGGATGAGGCTTTCGGCTTCGTCGCGGTTCGCCGCGGTGACGACGCGATGATCGGCACGAGGTGCACTTTGCCCTTAGTCGTACTCGATTGGTTAATTAGCGAGGAGTCTTGTCTCTCGACGAGACAAGATTTCGCTCCGTCTCTCTCCTGCTCCTTCTCACGGAGCCCGACCGCGGAGACGACACATTTCGCCGTTGGAATTTTCACAGTGGTGCTCTCTCAATGACATTCGCGAGGCGTAATCGTGAAAACGTCAACAAGTACGAGCGGAGAGAAAGCCGCTTCCCCGTTGAGATTGCCGGTGCGCACGAATGGACTCGAGACGGTAAATATTAAGCAGCGGGACGAATATCGTACGGGCGGTTTGATGTTAACGTCCGCGTAACGTTGCGCGAAAACGCGGAATTGGTGTTTTTTTTTGTCAAATTCTCGATGACGTGCAGCGGCAACGGCGGATCGAGCAAGTACGCGCGTGGGGACGCGTAATTGATAACAGCGCAGCGCTATCGTTCTGTCATGCGTTCGGCTTGTCAGCGATATTGTTATCGTATGAACAATCTCTCGCGCCCAGATCGAGCAGCTTTTTCCTGCCACTGGAGGTCATTCCTCGAGTCACGCGAGTCAGAGGAGCCGACTTGGAGGGCGCCGAAGCTTTCGAAGGTGATTGCCGGGAAATTTGCGTCTGTCGGACGGGCATACCGACGAGACGTTATTGGTGCGAGCGAAAGATGAGTAAAAGTCGGCGTTAACGAGAATTACGGGAGACTTTTAATTCAAGAATCCGCGGAAGTTAAATTTGCGACATGGTCGATCGCGCACTGGCTCGTCGTGTTCTCTCTCCGAACATTTTCTCGCCTCGCATTTTATTCGATATGCCGATTGGTACATGAGGAACACAGATATTAGGAAAGACTTAATGATCTCTTCTATGAGGAGATAGCTAACAAGTAACACTATATATATGTATCCAACTGTCACTCACCAATCGGAATGAAACTTTGCTCTCTTATAAAGCATTGAAAAATATTGAAAATCCGTTTTTTTATTTTTCCTCAAAACGTTTTTTAACCCCTTGACTGTCGGAGGCAACTTGCGGGACAAAAATGCGTTGATACAAAGTAACTCTGATAGTCATAAAACTCGATATTCTAAGGTTTTTTGGGTCGCTAAATCCAAATATATCAAAATTTTAAAATTCAATACGGCGGATCCAATATGGCGGGCACCAATTTCAAAAGATCAACATATTTTCATAAAACTCGGTATCCTAATTTTGGTCTTTTGGATTACTGAATCCGAATATAATAAAATTTCAAAAGTGAAAATGGCGGATCCAATGTGGCTAACACCAATTTCGAAAAATCAACATATTTTTATAAAACTCGGTATCCTAATTTTAGAATTTTGGTATCATTCGGATTCAGTGAAAGTAACCATCAGAGTTACTTTGTATCAACGCATCAACGTCAAGGAAAAATAAAAATAACAGATTTTCAATATTTTTCAATGCTTTATAAGAGAGCAAAGTTTCATTCCGATTAGTGAGTGACAATTGGGTAGTGTTACTTGTAAGGTAGCCAATAGAGATGTGCGTGCGAACTATTTGAATTCGAGTCGAATCGAATCTAATGTAATTCGATTCGATTCGAATCCGAATTCCTATGATTCGAATCCGAATAATCCAAAAATTTCGAATCGCGAAGATTCGAATACGAATCAAATACATTAGTGTTTGCGCGCATCAGTTACAAAACGGGCCATCTGGGCCTGTATGTTTGAACCCTTGTAATTAACTTAACCCTTGTAATTAACTTAACTTATAATTAATAACTTAATTATAAATTGCTTGAAATATTTAAATATATTAAATATTTTATTAATATATTAAATATTTTACTTTAAGATGATATTACAATATCAATATTTCCTTTCATATTAAAATCTCCCATCATTATTTGCATGTTTAATAGTCAAATTAAATTTTTTAATGATTCGATTCGATTCGATCTTGACTCGCACATCTCTAGTAGCCAGGAACCATAAACTACGCTTAATGGACCACCCGAACAGTATAACTATTGCAAGACTATTAAATATTAAAGGACAGCTGAGAAGACTAAAGAGGATTAAGTCTAATGACTTGTTCCAATAAAGAAATTATTATGCAAGTATTTTGCAAGTAGACCGTACACATCTGTCAAGACTATTGCATAATCATCGCTGAGATGAAATGCATATTAAATCTCATATACTCTCAACTGTGAGTCATAAAACGGTCATGCATAACTGGATTGATTCTAACATGTCTTTATGGCATATTTAAAAAAGAAAAAAACATTTATTTGATATTCCGGAGGAAACGTTTTTCCTCTAAAATTGTTTTTTCCTTGTTCCCGTCGCTTCATCTCGGAGATTTTTAGTCATATTTTTTTGCGTAATTTATACAGAAGCTAACGAAACCGCCCAGTTGCTCTGTCGTGTAATTTAATTTCGAACGTAATTTTTTTCGAGCAGAGAGAGAGAGAGAGAGAGAGAGAGAGAGAGAGAGAGAGAGAGAGAGAGAGAGAGAGAGAGAAAACGCCGGTCTTTTTCTTTTCAAGCAAACTGAAATTTCATCTTGCGATTTTCAGCCGCGCGCAATGATAACAATATTTAACAATAACGGTGGCAACGACCGCGCCAGGTCGGAACGCTCCTCGGCCGACTTTTCTCCTTCGCTCTTCTTTCTGACTCTCAATTAATTCGTCTGGTTCTCCAACCGACGAAGAATGTATGACACGCATCGGGTATCGCGCCAGCTGATACCGATGACTCATTAGCCGACATTCGTGGAAAGCGAGTATGGGCGTAAAATCCAGGCAACGTTACGATGCGTTTCTCTGGCAGTCATTGTCTATTATTAACTCGCTGCTCTCGTAACAATTATTACCGCAATAACGCCATTGATACCGTCATATCGCCATCATCTTTCGGGAAACGTTCGCATCTCGACGCGATGTGATTAGGAGAATCGCGGAAATCGTCGGCGGCCGCGTCTCTCGTCTCGAATTCCGCCTCTTCGGGTCCCTCGTGTCATTCGGAAACTCGCAACATTGCGGAACTAATCGCTGTGAAGTCAAAACGAATAATTGATTTTGCGAGCGCAACAGCGGGGCTCGGTCGGAAATTTGCCCCCCCCTCCCCTCTCCCCTTCCTCCCCGCGACAGCGGCGATAATCGGAAGGTTATTTTTTTCACCGGGAAAACTCGCACCAGCACGCGTGTTATTCGATTTGAGGGGGGATCACGAGGGGGGGGGAGGATATAGAATTGTAGAGAGACACAACGGGATAAAAGCGGGATACGCGGCGGTGGCGTGGCGCGGCGCGGCGCGAGGGCGGGAGAGAAAGGGGAGCCTTTAAATCTATATTCGGATATTTCGTATATCCGTCGGATCGGAGGCGACTCGGGCGGCCTTACAAACGCAGAGATATCGAGGAACGTCCATTTTCATTCACCGGGCCGCCGCCGCGATGTATTCAGCGGCCGGCGCATATCCGGAGACCGTCGTTCGCGCCGTCATCCGCATTTGGCGCTCGTATTGATCTCTGCGTCCTGTTTTTAAGTAATTATTTATAAGCCCCTTCGGAGCGCCTTCGTGATTCTCCAACGTAATAACCGCGAATCGCATCCCGTCCGGCGCGGCGCGGCGGCCGGAATTGAAGCTCGCCGCATTTGCATCGCGCGACGCGGCTGTTATCTTCGCGCCAACGTCGCCGCTCCGCGTGAAGATTGTGGAAAAATGCGAGAGCGTTCTCCGTAAATAGCCGAGATTCCTCCGTGGCGAGATGCGCCAAGTACCGATTGCAACGAGACGTTCCCCCGCATGCTATGAAGTAATCGCCGCCGCCGCGAAAATCATCGGGCTTTATTAAGCCTCTTGCGGTTCTATTTACTGGCAGAAATTAGTATGAAAATGGTTAAATTTTTTCTGCGCAGGAAAATATTGACTTTCATGTTTTATAATAGTTTTCGAACGTGCTGATTTCAAACTTGAGGTTGTTGTCGCAACATTCAAAATGGCGGATCAAAAATGGCGGACCTGAAAGTAGTAAATCTTACTCCAAGTCAGACTCGGGTCTAACCGTAAGCCGGTTAAGGCGGTGATCCGTGCATGTCCTTCGCGGAGCGCATCTTTGCTGCGCCTTTTTTGCATTTATTATCAGGCAGCTTCTGCCATCTGTCGCGGATTGCGACGCGATCTCGTTACCGGTGTATCTCGCGCTCGACACGCCGCAAGCGATGCCTCCCGGTCGAC